CACAGCATATCTCTAGCTTCTTGACACATATAAACTCACTAGTAGAGCGAATAAAATTCACATTTGAATCGGAAAATGAACAAGGAGAATTAGCCATGATGTTAGATTGTCAGGTAAAACGAATAGAAGAAGGTAAACTTCACACTAGCGTTTATAAAAAGCCAACGCATTCTGCTAATAGATATTTAGACTTTAATTCATCTCATCCGTGTTTTTTCTTTTCCTTCACATTCCCCAGTGGAACATAGGGCTTCAAGCTAGTGGCTTGAAGTTTCTATAGCAGTGTTTATTTTACAGGATGGGGTTGCTAGCCTCATACCCAACCTTTCCTCTTCACCAGTATTATTTCTGGCTTAGCGAGGTACAGGAGCGCGTCTGTGGCCGGGGTTCGAACCACGAACCATGTGCATGGTCGGCGAGCGTCCTAATCGCTATGCCACCGACGCAATCTCATCCGTTCGTTGTCTGTAAAGGCAGGCTTAGTGAAGTGTCAAACACGCCTAGCAATACCAACACTAAGTAGTACAACAAGAAAACGAAATGACGAAATGAAACAGACAGAAGAATAGCTGATTGGTGTTAAATAACTATACTACGACTACTGTATGACTTTATCAAAATAAATTTTATGCATAATGGAATTATACTCTACCACAGTACCCAAGTGCTGTCCTAATATCAAAGTGTATGTTGGCGGAGATAAAATCTTCATCCTGTAAGAATTACTACTAATAGCAGGATATACTGGTGGTTCACCTACTGACATGGTCGGGATTTGACTCACGGCCGACGCACTCCTAAACTCTTCCCCCAACCAATATAAGCCCGATAAAGACGGGAAATTCAAGGCGAGACTACTAATCACATTCCTTAAAAATAACATTACTACTGAAACTTCGAAGCTTAAGCTTGAAGTCCAGCATTTCACTTGATGTACAAAGAAATGAAAAGAAGCCGGGATACACCGAGTATGGTTTGAACCATTTCGTCAACCATCGAAATTTGCATACTTAAAGTACTGAAACGCCTAATATTATAACAAGCTTAGATAAACCATACGTTTGATCGGACACTAGTCAGTGATTACTTTAATGTGTTCAGTCTTCTCTCCGCTGCAGATTGAATTCTGTAGGTCA